AAAAAAAAAACAAGTGCTGAGGCCATGACAAGGAGGAGAGGAGATGGAGTAGGAAGAGGAGGAGATGGAGGATGAGAGACGAAGTAGGAGAATGACGACGAGGTCAGGACGATAAGGGATGGTGGAGAGGGAGGAGGAGGAGGAGGAGGAGGAGATACCATGCTAGTTCAAGAGTTCAAAGTTCCCATGAGAAACAAAATCGTCGAAGCCGTGAGAAGAAGGATGGAAGGTGGAGGAGAGATGCAGAAATGGAGTAGGAAAGATGGAGGGGGATGGAGGAGGAGAGATGGAGAGATGGAGGAGTAAAGGTGGACAAGGTGGAGAGGAGGACGAGGACGAGGAGAAAGGGTGGAGAAAAGATGGACGGGGCGGGGTGGAGGAGGAGATACCAGTTAAGTCGGAAGTTCACATCAGGAAAGATGGCGAGACCTTGATGACGACTAGGGATGGAGGAGGAGATACCAGTTAAGTCGGAAGTTCACATCAGGAAAGATGGCGAGACCTTGACGACGACTAGGGATGGAGGAGGAGGACGACGAAGAGGAGGGGGAGGAGGAGGTGAGGTGGAGAGATCAAGGAGTAGTAGTAGGAGTAGGATATCTAAAGGAGGAGGCACCATTGCAATTCCAATGTTTCATGTTTCGATCCAAAAAAAAAAAAACAAAAAAAAAAACGAATGCTGACTCTGTTGAGACCAAAAAAAAAAAAAAAAACAACTGACAAGAAGAAGAGGAGATGGAGGAGGAAGAGGAGGACATGGAGGATGAGAGATGGAGGAGGAGGAGGACAAGGAGGTCAGGAGGAGAAGGGATGGGGGAGGGGGGGAGGAGGAAGAGGACAACAACGCGATGAGGAGGAGATACCATGCCAGTTCAGGACTTCAAAGTTCCGGTGACCGTAAAGGTTGACGAAGCCGTGAAAAAGAGGAGGGGTCCATGCGGATACCTTCAGCGGAGACGATGTGGCCAAGGTATTCAACGCTTGAAGTGGCAAAGGTGCATTTGTTGAGCTTGGCGTAAATCTTTTGCTCTCTGAGGATAGAGAGGACTTGGCGAAGATGCTGAAGATGGGACTCGAAGGTGGGGCTATAAACGAGGATACCTTCAGCGGAGACGATGTGGCCAAGGTATTCAACGCTTGAAGTGGCAAAGGTGCATTTGTTGAGCTTGGCGTAAATCTTTTGCTCTGGACTTGGCGAAGATGCTGAAGATGGGACTCGAAGGTGGGGCTATGAACGAGGATATCATCGAGGTAGACAACGACACATACTCCGAGGAGGTCGCGAAAGATGTGATTCATTGTAGATTGGAATGTGGCGGGGGCGTTCGCGATGAGGAATCCGTAGTGCCCGAATCGGGAACGGAAGGCGGTCTCGTGAGTATCCTCCTCGCGGATGCGGATCTGGTGGAAGCCACTACGGAGGTCAATCTTGGGAAAATACTTGGCTCCACGGACTCGATCGAGAAGCTCGAAGATCCAAGGTAGGGGGTACTTGTTCTTGATCGTGATCCGGTTCAAGGCGCGGTAGTCTGTGCACATCTGAAGTTTCGATGTTATGCCTTTCTTTACGAAAAGGCAGCTTGTGTCGAAGGGGGATAAACTCGCCTTAATGAATCCTTTTTCAAGGAGTTCATTGAGTTGCCGCTTCATTTCTTGGACTTCCGAAACAGAGAGTTGGTACGGAGGGCGACAAGGTGGAGAGTGGCCGGGCTCCAAATCGACGGTGTGGGATATGCCACGATCCGGAGGTAATCCGGCAGGCAAGGACTCGGGGAAGACATCCTTGAACTCGTCGAGGATGGAGGTGAGGGCGGGGTCAAAGACGGGGGCCTGGTCGGGGTTGTCCGTTGGGAGCAAGTCCTCGGGATGCTCACGATCAAGGACAAGGCAATAGTAGGTGGAGTTCGGGTTCGTGTGAGCCATGTGAAGGAATTGGTGCGGGGTGATAAAGCTTGGGGAGGTGGGACAGGCGAGATAGGGAATGTCGATGGTTGTGTCAGGGGGGTTGGTAGGGCGGAGGAAGTTGGGGTGGAACGCGTATGGTATGTAGCGGTCCAACCATGGTGTTCCCAAAACGATATCGCACATTAAGTGCATGACATCGAATGAGACCTGATTGCAAAGGGTTCCGACAGTCATGGTGGTCTCGGGAACCATGCGGTCTACTACGACGACAATGTCTTTGTCCCCTAAACGAATCGTAATCGGGGAGTTGTAACCGATAGAGGTAAGACCGGCTTTCCGAACACACGAGTCCGTGATGAAGTTACCGGTGGCTCCAATGTTGAGGAAGGCCCGGAGCTTAGTTGTAGACGCACCAAGGGTGGCAGCGATGAATTTGAGGTGAAAGCATGATGAGTTGGCGGTGGAGATAATGGTGTTGAGGCGGAGTTCATTGCCTAATCGGACAAGCCGATCGTGTCGGGCTTATTCCTCAACAACATCAGAGAAGGTGACAGAGGATGGGTTCGAAAGGAGGGTCGAGGAACATGTGGCAGTGGGGGGGGCGTCAAGCAACGAGGGTTGCGACGCCTGGGGGTCGTCCAATGGGATGTGCGGCACTGGAGAGGGGGGAGGCAGACGTATTGTCGATGCCAAATGGGCCACCGGTGGGATGGAGGTCGTCACCGATGGGATGGTCGACAAACTAGTCGTCGATGCCGGGGGGAAGACCTGGGGACAATGTTCAGGATGAGGAGAGACTCGCTCCTGCCGAGGGGGGTGATGCGGAGGTCACGGGCCGGGGAGCCGCAGACTGGCGTGTGAATTGTCTAGCAAGTGGGCAGTTGGTTTGCTGGTGGCCTATTTGTCCACCTTTTGCCTGAAGGTGGGCTCTTTCCTTGGGTGTGAGTTTCTTAAGGCGGCCCGGGAGGATGTTCGGGGGAGGGCGGCTAGAGCGTTCGCTCTTTTCCATTCACATGAGGTAAATGGCAGAGAGTTTGTCGGGGGAAAGTGTCGAGGTATCCATGGTGTCGGATAGGATGTCAGTATCAGCGTCGGAGGTGGTGAATTCATCCGAGGTGGTGGAGAGGGAGGTCTTGTTTATTATGTTGTGAAAGAATCGGGGGTGGTGTGGGGTGGAGATGGCGGCGTTTTTGTAGGGGGTGAGGAGTCGGCTGATTTTGAGGCAGCTGTTAAGGAGGCCGTGGAGGGGCATTAAGGGTTCGTGGATGAGGGTAGTTGCAAGATCCTTGCGGCATACTCGTTTGACACGGGAGATGAAGACGGCGTCGCTTATGAAGTCAATGGGGATGTGTTGGCATAGGACACGGACGTATTGTATGAAATTGTCGGTCGACCCGTTTTGGCGCATCCCGAAGAATTGGTCGATGTAGTCATCGACGGTTTTCTGTGGCCGGAAGGTAGAGGTAAGCAAGGAAGCTCATTCAAGGAAGGAATAGGGTGGGAGGTTGGCGTGGGTGCAGTTTTGTCATTTCGGTGTACCACCATCGAGCGGCGGTGTCTAGGAGTTGAGTTCCAGCAATGCGGAGCCAGTGGATAACGGGGACAATGTGGAGAGATGTGGAGAGAAAAGGCCTGGTGGAGTTGGGTGAGGAAGCGGAAAACGTCCTCATGGGGTGAGCCAGAAAAGGTTGGGAGTTCATTGGAGCGGAAGGAGGGTGGGATCTTTCCTTCTTTGGGGGCCAAGGAGGCGAGGGTGTTGAAGTCGAGGGTAAAGGGGGAGGACGTGACTCACGTGAAATCGATTGTAGGGTTGGTGGGGATGAGTGCGTTTTGGGGCAAGATAGGTGGAGCGGGGTGGAGCATTGAGGGGAAGGAGGTGACCGGGTTGTAGGTGGGATGGGTGGAGATGATGGTAGATGAAGTGAGAGTTGGGTTGGTTTGAAGGGGGGTGTTGGATGATTGTGTGATAGCGGGGGCTGGGTTGAGGGCTTGGGTAGGAGGGGAGTGGGAGTGACAACGGTGGCAGAAGTGGTGGATGATGACGGGTGTGTGGGGGCTGTGCTGGTTGGGGGGGTAGATGTAGAAGGTGTCGGTGTGGAGGTTGAAGTAAAGGACTGTTCGGAGGAGGTGGGTTGTGGAGTGGAGGACAAGGTGGTTTTTGGTTGGGGGGAGGAGGGTGCGGTCGTGGTGACGACAGTGATGGCGGCGGAGTTTCACTCAATTGCAGCTACGCGATCGGAGACGGTCGACATGGTGGTGTTCATGTTGGCGATGGACGATTGGATGGACGTCACCATGCGGAGAAGCGTCGTGAGATCGGTGGCGGCATCAGGTGCTGGTGTTTGCTCGCCTGCGAGGTTGTGGGCGATGCTGTCGACGGAGTCGGTGTGGATGCCGCACATATCAATATTGGATGATTAAGCCATGGTGGCGGAGGAAGTGGTGGTAGTGGCAACTGAGCAGTTAGCAACAGATGAGGTGGAGGTGGCGACAGCAGCGGCGGCGGCGACGGCTGCACATTGAGAGTTCCTGGTTGTGTGTCATGCTCGGGGGGGAGTTCCTATACAAGGGTAATTGATTTAGCGACGAAGGTTAAAAAAAATCGCAAAACAAGAATTAATTTCGAATAAATTAATTTAGATTTATCATTTATTCAAAATTAATTTGAAAATTCGAAAAGGAGGTTGTGAGAGAGAAAGCGGATTTTCAAGAATTTCCAAATAAAGAAATAGAATAATTAATTCCAAGAAGAGAAATAAATTCTGACTAAATTTTTTCAAATTTGCATTCGGGGTAGAATTTTATAATGAAGAAAGATGCTGAAATTTTGAAAGGGAATGATTAATTCCGAGTAATTCCGAGTGAAGGAATTAATCCAGTCTTGAATTAATCGAATTTAGTCAAAATTAATTGAGGAGTTCATAACAATGTTCTCAAAAAGAAAAGTACTTCCAAATTAAAAAAAAAGTTTCGAAAAAAAATTGCGAAAAAAAATACATTGATTAGGATGTATTTTTTAATTTCAATGTACGAAAAACAGGGATGAATTATAATCATACATGCAAGCCGAAGTCGTCCGCTGATTCACTGACGGTTGGCGCTCAAGCGCACCCTGACTGTACGGCCCACAACCTGTGGGGCGCACAGAGCCCAAAAAAAAAACCCTACTTGTCGATTCATCCCTCGGCCGCCCCCCCAGCAAAAATCGTTTCGAATTTTGGTTTTGGGTGGGGGGGCCTGTTTGTCGGTGAGAGCAGGTTGACAACAACTGTTCTGTCATTGTCCTCGAGCCACCTCCGATCCGCGTCGTGACAAAGTGGCGCTCATTCCCGTCGCCCGCCACGAGCAGTGCTCAGCTCCCCTTGCGCTTGGAAGTTCGACTGTTGCTGAGGCCGAGCTCTCGAGCGACCATCGCCTGCAACCGCCCTCCAAGGTGAGTGTTCACCAGTCCTCCTGCCTTCCCTTGAACTCACCTCCTCCTTCTCCTCCTCCTCCTCCGCATCTTCCTCCTCCACATCTTCCTCCTCCTCCTCCTCCTCCTCCACATCTTTCTTCTCCTCCACATCTTCCTCCTCCTACTCCTCCACTCCTCGTCCATCTCTCCTCACATTTCCCTCCTCGTCAAGGTCTCGTCAACGTTTCTTACTTAAACTTAGTAACTTAGTAAACTACTAAACTTTGAATAACCGTTGGAATGTCGTCGTCTTCCATATGCGAGCTGTAAGGTGTGATGCCGACTGCCACGTGTCACAGCCTCGTCACTTTTTTTTGTTTTTTTTTATAATGGCAACTTTCAACTTCGAAGTTTGAACTTTTGTGGTATCTCCTCCTTATCTCATCGTCCTCCTCCTTTGCTCCTCGTCGTTGTCCATCTCTCCTCCTCCCTACCTCCTCCTCCTCCGTCTCTTTTTCATCCCTCGTCGTCCAACTTTTGTTCGTCATCTTTCTTCCTCCACCTCTTCCTCCATCTCCCGTCCTCAATTCTCCATCTCTCCTCCTCCACCTCTSAGCCTCTTTTTCACGGCTTCGTCAACCTTTAYGGTCACGGGAACTTTGAAGTCCCGAACTGGCATGGTATCTCCTCCTCATCGCGTCGTTGTCCTCCTCCTCCTCCTCCCCCTCCGCCATCCCTTCTCCTACTGACCTCCTTGTCCTCCTCCTCCCCCTCCTCCACATCTTTCTCCTTCTCCACATCTTCCTCCTCCTCCTCCTCCTCCTCCTCCTCCTCCTCCACTCCTCGTTCATGGGTCCTCCTCGTTCATCTCTCTTCCTCCACGTTTCCCTCCTCGTCAAGGTCTCGTCAATGTTTCTTACGTAAACTTAGTAAACTACTAAACTTTGAATAACGGTTGGAATGTCGTTGTCTTCCATATGCGGACTGCAAGGTGTGATGCCGACTGCCACGTGTCACAGCCTCGTCACTTTTTTTTCTTCTCTTATATACATTAAAGGAAGAAGCGGTTCGCGCGTGACGCTCCCAGCGGGCCCAGCGAAAATCGGGCTAGGAGGTTCGAGCGAGGTGCCGCACGGGACCAAGGAGGGCGCGTCGGTTGGGGACGGCGGCAGTGCGGAGGCGCGGCGGGAAGGCAGCGGACTGACGACGGCGCGACAGTTGGGGAGGCCGACAGTACGGATAGGTGTCGTCGCGGCGGGGGGGAGGGGGCCGTGTTGGCGTGTCGGGCCGAAGCTTGCGTGTGTGCGCCTAAGCGGTCCGCGCGTGACCGAGGAGGGCGCGTCAGTGAAATTTGGGCGGGGAGGCAGCGGACTGACGACGGCGCGACGGGTGGGGAGGCCGACAGTATGGATAGGTGTCATCACGGCGGGGGGGAGGGGGCGTGTTGGCGTGTCGGGCCGAAGCTTGCGTGTGTGCGCCTTCGTTCGTGTGCCGCCTATGACGCAGCGGCGGTGGCCGGTGCACGAAAAGTGTGGGCGTCGAGGGGGGTGGTGCGAGTGTCGAGGGGGGTGGTGCGAGTGTCGAGGGGGGTGGTGCGAGCGTCGAGGGCGGTGGTCGGGGGGTTATAAAGGGAGCAGACGCGCGCGAGTAGGCTGTGGTGCACGCGCACACACATGCGAGAGAGAGAGAGAGAGAGAGAGAGAGAGAGAGAGCTGTCTCTTATACACATCTAGATGTGTATAAGAGACAGGAGGAGGAGATACCATGCCAGTTCAGGACTTCAAAGTTCCGGTGACCGTAAAGGTTGACGAAGCCGTGAAAAAGAGGAGGGGTCCATGCGGATACCTTCAGCGGAGACGATGTGGCCAAGGTATTCAACGCTTGAAGTGGCAAAGGTGCATTTGTTGAGCTTGGCGTAAATCTTTTGCTCTCTGNAGAGAGAGAGAGAGAGAGAGAGAGAGAGAGAGAGAGAGAGAGAGAGAGAGAGAGAGAGAGAGAGCAAGGAGGTGTTACGAGGTGCGCACGACTGGCCTTGATGTGCATGTCGAGAGTGGAGCGACGCCCCTATGTTCGTTACTGGAGGCACCCAAGACCCTACTTCAACTTCGATCATTCTTGGCCTTGCCAATTACTACCACCCCTTTATCCGCAACTTCTTCGACATCTCGTACCCCCTCCACGAACTCACCCGCAAGGACGAACCCTTCACTTGGAACGACCGCTGCCAAAACGCCTTCGAGTCCATCAAACAACTCGTCACCACCAACCCCATCCTCGAGACCGCCGACCCCACTCGCCATTTCTACGCCACCACCGATGCCTCCGACTTCTCCATTGGAGCCGTCCTGTCCCAACATTTTCCTCGTGACACCACTAAAACTCCCTCCATCAAGGGATCCCCTACCCACCCCAAGGCCCCACCTGGCGAATACCCCATCACCTTCGCCAACAAGAAACTCCTTCCCACGGAAATGAATTACCCCTCCAACGAGAAGGAGCTCCTCGTCGTGATCCACACCCTCAAAGTTTGGCGCCCGTACCTCGACAAACAATATTTCACCATCCGCACGGATAACACCATTGTCTCTTATATCCTAACAAAGAACGACCTTACCCCACGATAAGCTCGCTGGTTAACTTTGTCGCCCAGTTCACCTTCACCATTTGCCATACACCTGGCAAAAGCAATTGTGTTGCCGATGGCCTCTCCCGACGCCTCGATCACAAACCCCCAGAGAAAGTTTACGCTGCAATAACACAACTCCTCCCGACTCTTCACCATCGCTACACCCAAGGCTCTCTCTCTTGCCCAGACTTCACAACCATCTACAACAAGCTTCATGACCTCAACCGTGCCCGCAACTACTCCCTCGGTGACCTCGCCGACTTTGCATCCCTGACTCACTTGGTCTCTGTACCTAGCTCTTGGCCAAACACCACAACACCAAGACTGCTGGACATCTTGGGTTCCAGAAAACATTCGACGCCATCTCCCGTTACTTTCACCGGCCGTCCCTACTCGCCGACGTCAAAGCATACATCCGCTCATGCCCCACGTGTCAAGCCGTCAACCCCTCGAACCGTGCCAAGCCTTGCAAGCTACAATTCTTGCTGATCCCCACCCACCGGTGGCAGCATCTCCATGGACTTCGTATGTGGCCTCCCCAAGACCGACTGCGGACATGATTGCATGTATGTCATTGTTTGCCGCTTTACTAAACGCGCCCACTTCATCCCTTGCACCACATCGCACAACGCGAAGGACGTCGCCATTCTCTTCTTCGACCATGTCGCACGCCGTCAAGGTCTCCCCGAGAACATCGTCCGCGATCGTGACCCTCGCTTCCTATCACAATTCTGGAAGCACCTCTTTAAAGCCTACGGAACCACGCTAAAGTATAACACTGCATTCCACCCACAGACCGATGGACAAACGAAGAAGATGAACGATACTCTCCAAAGAATCCTGTGGAAGTATTGTCATCCACATCAACACAACTGGGATCAGTTGCTCACCGCCGCCGAGATCGCCTACAACAATGTTGTCTGTCCTTCCACTGGCATGTTTCCATTCTACCTTGACCTTGGCTATCATCCACGCTTGCCCTCCAATTTTGTGCTCCCCTTGCAACTCAACCCCTCCACGCCGTGCCCTTCCCTCAATGAATGGGTAGCAAGAATGAATGGACTCCTTAGAGAAGCAACTGAAGCCCTTGAAAGAACACAAGAACAACAAGCAAGCAGGACTAACAAACACTGACGTGACCTACAATTCAAAGTAGGGGACAAAGTCTGGCTCTCCGCCAAACGCTTTGAACCCGAACATGGATTGTCAAAGAAGCTCTCAAACAAATGGCTCGGTCCTTTCCCCATCATTCAACAAACCTCCCCCATCAATTACAAGCTCCAACTCCCTCCTGACGTGGATCAAGTCCACCCTATCTTCCACGTAGAATACCTAGAAGAATATCATGAATCCCCAACCCAATTCGCTGACCACCCATACCCTAGACCTCCACCAATCATGCTTCCCACAGGCCGAATTCGTAGTAGAATCCATCAGAGGACGACGAACCACCCAAGCATCAGACCATCCGGAACCAACCAAAGAATACAAAGTCAAATGGACCGGGTATACCCCGACGAAGAATCTACATGGGAACCTCTCTCTAATCTCAAGAACGCCATGAAACTTGTTCACGCCTACGATCGTGCTCAGCCTATATCTTAGATACATAATATAACTCAAACTATAGACCCTTGTCTAAACCTCGCCTTGACCTCGCATCCCTGCTCTACACACACCCTTGTACCCAGCAAAGCCCTTGCCTCTTGAACCCCCCTTGTCTAATCCGCTCTTGCCTCCGCCTTGCCCCGTTCTCCCATCTGTCCTCCACCACATCCTTGTCTCTCTTGTCCAAAGTTCTCTTTGTGGCCCCTGCGCGTCGCCGACGATAATGGATCTAATGGCAAGCGCACAAGGACAATGGCATGCTCCAGCTCAGTACGAGGAGATAAGACGGTTGGCCACCATGCTGTTCCCTTTGGCCAGCACCTTGGACTCGCAGGCTTCTGGAGAAGCACCTCTGACATGGACATCAAGATGAGTCTGCGACCTGCTATTCGGATCATACCTCATCACCAGACCGTGTACTGGACGCAACCTGCTACCGGGACAATCAAGCTGGAGCCCTTGCCGTCTACATCACAGATTTGTTGAAGACTGCTTCCTCACCTCCACTTCTATGACACCCCCAAGACCTTCCTCAAGACATGTTTTCGCTTTTGACACTTTGTTACAGACCTGAGACGTTGTTTTCCCAGACCCCTCAGACACCCCAACACTTGAGCATTGAACAAACAATTTTTTATTTTTTTTCCTCGAACCTGACAACCTATAACCTTGTAGAACACCAATAGGACTACCCTGTTGCTTGAGCATTGATTCCCTCATCCTTGTAGAACCTCAATAGGGTTACCCTGTTACTTGAGCATTGAGTCCCTCATCCGGATAGAACCTCAATAGTATGACTCTGTTGCTTGAGCATTGATTCCCTCATCCCTGTAGAATTGTGATAGGATTACCCTGCTACTTGTATTACTCCCCTTTTCCTTTTCTGACCAATGATCGGCCCCGTCCCGTCCTTCATAGTTGTTCAATGGGTCTTTGGCAGCCGGGACGTTGCCTTCTAGAGGGAGAGGATAGTGTTACAGACTCAACGAGGACTCGATCCCTGGTCGCAGACAAGGTGACTTCTGACGAGCTTGTGTTGGTCAATGGCCTGCTGTTCCTCGAGAAGGCCGGGAATAAACGTTTGTGTGTGCCAAATAGAGAGTCTTTGCGTAGTTTCTTTCTAGGAGAGTGTCATGACACCACCAAACATTTTGGGTATAAGAAGACTGTGGCTAACCTGTTGCTGTGTTTCTGGTGGCCCACAATGATGAAAGATGCCAAACTGTATGTCGAGAGTTGCCAAGTCTGTCAACGTGGCAAGCCTCGGACACAGGCTCCTCTTGGGCTACTAAAGCCCCTTCCGGCAAGTCCATGGTTTTCATGGATACACTGGTCACCAGCAAGAGTGGTATGAGGTATATCTATGTCATTGTGGATAGGTTTAGTACGTATGCTAGGTTAGTAGCTATGACGGAAACAGCAAAGACCGAGACTTCGGCTTGCCTATGTCTATAGTCAGCGACCGGGATGTCTGATTTACCAGCGATTTGTGGAAGGCTGCAGCTGCCGAACAAGGAATGCAACTGCAGTTGACCTCTGGGAATCACCCAGAGGCGAATGGACAGGCTGAGCAAATGAACCGCGCTGTACAGCACCTGCTGAGGCATTACATTAAGCCTAATCAGGTGGACTGGGATGAGAAGCTTGCTCACATTTCCAGTCTGCACAATAGCGCAACTCACAGCACAACCATGGTCAGTCCTAACAGCCTGCTACTAACGTTCAAACCTAGACTCCCTCTGGACTTCCTGCTACCGGAGAACCAGCCCACTGCTGCACCGGGCACTCTGGAATTTGCTTATCGGTATGAGAATCTCATGCAGCAAGCAGTGGATAACATGCATAAAGCACAGGCAGCAATGATAGAATCTGAGAACAAGCACCGCCGCCCATCTGCATTTCAGGTAGGGGACAGAGTCTGGGTCAAAGCTTCTGAATTGGGGCAGGAGCATGGGATCTCCCGCAAGCTCATGCCACAGTATTTCGGACCATGGGAGGTTGTAGACATTGTTGGAGACAATCCCGATGGGCCTTCTTATGTAATAGGGATCCCTGGTCACCTTCGCACTTACCCTGTCTTCCATGCCTCCAAACTTGCACCTTCCAAGGAAACTGATCAGTTTCCCTCTCGTCGGTCTATGCTGGCCCCAACCATGGATGGAGAGGTAGACATCGACGACATCGTTGACCACAGGGAAATGCCGGTTCTAAGACCAACAGGCAGGTCCCGTCCTCCAAAGCCGAAGCTGCGGTATCGCGTTCAGTTCAGACATCACGCTGATCCTAAGGAGGACAAATGGTTTTCAAGGGAGGAACTGATGCAGACTGCTCCACAGGTTGTCTCTCACTATCAGAAGGCACTGCAGAAAGGAAAGCGCCAGATCCAATGAACTTCTCAGAGGACTATCAAAGTGTGGAGGCGGGAATGCGAGGCTACAAGCCTTGGAAAAGCCCTACTGGGCCCTGTTTCAGATAGAAAGGTCGCCTAAAGTGAAGGCGGGCCTGACAATCGACGAGAGGCCTGTTTATGTTTGACGCGGCTGGGGGAAATTCAGGCAGTTGCGCAGCGTCAGTTGGTTGAGTGAGCCCAAGCCCTGCCTGCCTTTTTCCAATTGTGTCTGAGGCAGGCCCTGGGCCAGACACGGGGCATGAACTGAACATAAGCCGCTGGTTGGACACGGGTAAGCACCCCAGGCCCTGTGGAAGATTCCCTGGGACAGGGGCTCAGCCACTTGGGGCTTACCGGAAGCTTCCATGGCGAGGCCCAGGCCAGCCGGGCAGCCCACGGCTGGCAGCAACTTTCCATAAAGGAAAGGGCCTGGCCGCTGACCAGACATTCGGGCACTCGCTGCTTATGCGCAAGCGCTGCTGCGCCAGGTGCTGAAGCGAGTGCTTACGCGCTCATGGGCGAGCAGGGAAGAAGCAGGCAGCCATAGTCGGGCTGGCCTGTGCGTGCTGGATGGGGCGCATGGTGGTCCTTGGGTGTTACATGCTGCGCCTGCAACAGGCTGCACGGGCCATTTTCAGGCCCGTGTCGTTTTCAGCCCGAGAGCCTGAAAACAAGGGCCTACAGGCCCCTACAGGCCCTGTGTCGTTTCAGCCTGAAAGCCTGAAAAAAAGGGCCTACAGGCCCTGTGTCGTTTTAGGCTAAAACAGGGCCTTTCCGACCCTGAGTCTTTTCAGGCTGGAACACAGGGCCATTTTCAGGCCCTCGTAAGATCCACCTGCCCTGAAACTCAGGCCCCAGACCAGGGTTTTATCTCAGGCCATTTTTGGCCTGTTTTCAAGACAACCTTTGTTTGAGCTTCAACCCCAGGGTCTGGCACATTTTGGCATTGGCAAGAGCAGCTTCCTGGACGGGCCAGGACTATGTAAGACTGGGCCGCCCTGCAGGCTGCAGGTAGGTCATAGGGACTTCCCAGGCACTTCACGTGCAGTTCAGGAGACAGGAGGTAGTCTTCAGGATTCGGCAGCAGCACTCTGGAGGAGCGCTGCAGTTGTAGTAGTAGTGTTAGCAGTAGACTTCAGCGCTGGCTAGTAGGAGCTGGAGTAGTACTGGGGAGAGAGAGAGATTGGGCGGAGGCCAGGGAGACTTACCTGCAGCGCCATAGCTCCAGCTTCGTCTTCGAGGTACCTGCAGCACAGCGCCATCTTCACAGGTTAGTACCTGGCAAATGGGAGAGAGAGAGAGTTCTTTTTCTTCCTCTTCTCAGTCCACCATCTCCCTCTCACCCTCTCGCTACCTGACTTCACTGCATCAGCAGACTAGGAGAGAGCGGGATTGGTGACATTTGGATCCAGACTCGACATTGGGCTTCAGACATTTCGACAAGGGATTATTTGGGACTTGTAACGAAGACTTGGTGTTGACGACATTCCCATCTCCCCCCCCCTTCTTCGTCTGATTCCCTCCTCCTCGTCTGTGCATGATCTGGACCTGGCGCATTCTTCCTGTGTGTAGCGCCAGACCCCTTCACACCTTGTGATGAGGATGGTGTATGTTTGGTCTGCATTGTGACATTGATTGGGCTAGTCATTGGTATTCTAGCATTCTGCTGCGCTGTCTTGCACTACGTGATAGAGGTCAGTCCCGGTCAGGTCAGGACTTATATCTAAGTCTTCCACTGTGCTGCAAAGCACCATTTTTGTTTGTATTAGGATGTACAATGCTTGTTGAGATTTCACTAGCACTGCATTGTCCATTCAGTCCTTTTCATCACATTGCGGATCCTTGGTTATATATGTGCATCGCCCAACTGGGCATGTAACAGTTGGTACCGGAACACCGCACGTGAATCAGGATAACCTAATCTGACACGTGTGCCGGGACTATTTAGTTGAGTAGTCTTGATTGATTGATTGATTGATTAGAGCACACTAATTAGCCCCCAAAATCACGATTTTGACCTCACTGCCGAAAATCGATTTTTTTTTTTCTTGGATTTTGTTTTCCCGCTATTTCTGTTGTGGAAAATCAGAACAGCGCAACACCTGAATTTTAAGTTTTCGTTTTTCTTCTGAAAATTCGAAATTTCGTTGTTGGAAATCCGGAATATCTTTTTTTCAAAAATTTTGATTTCCTTTTGCAAATTCTCATTATTTGGAAATCCGGAATATTTTTTTTTGTCGTTTTCGAAATTTGTTTTTCGAGATTTGAAAACGGTACGGGAAATCCCTCTTGCAGTTGCCATTTTCCAAACTGCACGTACTTTGATTTGAGTAATTTCGAATATTTTTTATGTTATTTTATTTTCGGAATTCTCTTATCGGATAATCATTTGCAGTTTGAAAGTTCGGAATTTTTTCCTCATTCGTAATTTCGCACTTCAGGGGGAATTGGGAGGCCTATTGAACTTGCAAACGAGCATTTTTTTTCCCTTCTCGAAATTTTTGCAAAGTTCAAACTTTTCTTTTTTGATTAGTGGCTACTTATCAGGGCGATTTATCCCACCCACCCGTCCCCACCTACGTTGTTGCCCCCTCTGGTCTTATCTTCTCTATCGGTCTTCGGGTACCTCCTGCAGCGGCATTGGTAAGTTGCCACGTCAGCAGGCCATGTCAGCAGGCCACGTCACCAGACCACGTCACGTCAGCAGACCACGTCAGCAGGACACGTCATCAGCAGGGAGTGCCACGTCAGCAGCAGGCCCTCATGGGCTCGCCAACAACCGTCATGGACCAGAAGTCCGGGGAAACAGACGAGGCCTATCAAGCCCGGATGCTGCTTCTGATTACGGAAGCCAAGCAATGGTCGGATGCAGTAGCAGCCGCAACAAAGAAGAAGGCAGAGGACGTTGAGAAGGCACGTCTGTTGGCAATCGAACAGCAGCGCCAGCAAGACGAGGCAGCAGCAAAAGCTGCCGATGAAGAGCGAATTCAACGACGCAATGGTCGGATGCGGAGAGCGAGCTTTGCTCACAATGGCAGCGGACTGGCGGCCCGAGGCCGAGAATGGTAAGATGGAAGAGAGTGAAAGCAAAGATCGCTCTACTCCTCTCCCATCTCACGAATCTCTTGGCAACATGCATTACACTGTAGGAGGACATCCACAATCTCGACGACGTGTTGGCTCAACTCAACAGCCGCCTCCAACAGCTGGAGCAACGACCCGTCGCCGCCCCTGATGCCAACTCCTCCAACACCTCCGATCGCCTCAATGCATTGGAGATCGACGTCGGCGCCCTCAAGGACGACACACAGCTACAGCAAACCGCCACGCAACAACAGGAGCAGCGGATTTGTGCTGTGACCGCCAACCCGAGTTTGGCACTGGGCGAGACGAATCCAAGGTTTGATGATCAGGAGATCTTTTGCGATTCGACGAAGAAGGACCTGATTCCGTTGTTCCGCAAGTGCGAGCTCAAGTTGCAGCTGCACCATGTCAGCGAGGAGAAGCATCACGCTTACTTATACTCCCGATCGGAGGGCGCATGCCAAGCATGGTTGGACAATCTCTTGTCCAAGTATGGGGTGGTAGCTGCCGACTTGTACACCAAGATCAACTGGGATGATCTAAAGGCGGCGTGGCATAAGTTGTTCCAAGTAGAGCCGCTGGAGGTCAAGGCAATGGACAAATTGATGACCTTCTAACAAGGCACACTGGAGAGTGTTGACTGGATTGTCGAGTACCAACGCTTGACATTCGTCCCATACATTCAGATGGCCTTCAAGGCCGTCAAACACTACTTCATCTCGAGGTTGTGTCCGGCGTTGGGCAACGCCTTGACTCATGTCAAGGACACCCTGACGACAACGACGGAGCTCTGCAACAAGGCCGCACAGATTATTGTCACGAACAAGGAAAGCTAAGAACCTCCACCGTTCGTCAGCAACAGGCCCGAGCAGAGATCAACATCGGTCGAAAGTGGCCGTGGTCGCGGCGACAACGCCAACCGACCAATCTAGTGAGGCCATGTCTGCCAATGAAGGGGACAGACTCACAACGGCCTGGGATGGTGGCCGCCCCGGTTAATGCCAAGGACGCGGCATGACAACGACAAACACTGCATCTATCCCCGGGCCTGGCGCAACAGCTCCAACCCCATGGTCCCACTACGGTCTCTTCGAACAAGTGTACAAGGCAAGCACGAGATTTCGCTATTGCCTATGGTGCAACAACGATCTCCATGAGACAGTGGGCTGCCCGTCGAAATGTGAAGGCAAATCGGAATGCTGAGCACCGCCGGGAGTGAGTCGATGACCCTCTCGACGCCTTCGGAATCGGTCGCTTCGCGGGTGACCGCCCTTCGTTCCAAGGCACACGCTGAAGTCGATAGTCCTCCTCTTCTATATTTTTATGAGGATTATGCTGCCCGACTCGTTCCTATGCTGGGTACTCATGCTCAAGGACAAGACGTGTATGTGGCATCTTCCTCGTCCGACAGCGACAACTTATCGTCTTCAAGTGGTTCTTCACGGGATTCCGCACGCGAGTTCACAATAGAGGTATTGGACCCACTCACGTCCGAGGATTTCGCATGGCTTCCTCTCCTGATCACGGGCCGTCTGCCGTGATCGCAATGCGCAACATTATGCGCTCATCTTCACAAGTATGTATCCTTCTATGCACCACTAACTTCGTCGATGGAGGACGAAGCTGCGGTGGGGGACATCCTTGCATATGTTACCAAGGTGGCCCGTGAGTTTCGCAAGCAGCGGTACGATGACAACAATGCACCACTCCTCTACGCCCGCATCCAAGTTGGGCAAGCGTCCTGCAACGCTTTGCTGGATAGCAACGCGTCTCGCAATTTCATGAGCCAAGCCTTTATGCAAAGGGCTGGCCTTGATGCACAAGTTCGGAGGAAGGCAAACCCGACGGCGATCAAGCTGGCAGACGGAAGGACGCAACAACTTATCGACCGTGACATCAAGTCCGTACCGGTGTATTTCGCACCTCATGCATGCGAAGCAGTGACGTTCAACATTTTGGAAATGAACTTCGATATCATTTTGGGGATGCCTTGGCTTGCAAGCGCGGATCACACGGTCAACTTCCACCGGCGGACTCTTACCGTTGGGACACCTTCGGTGTCGAAGTGTCGTGTACTATTCCTCTTCCGTACCCTTCGATTCGGTGCCAAGTGGTGACGACCAAGTCATTCCGGGCTTCTTGTGCTTACGAGCAGCTCGACGAAATTGGCCTATGTTTCCTACGGAGCGTCGTGGTAGCCGACTCTTCACCCACGAACTTGTCTTCGAACCCTCGTGTGGTGCGGTTGCTTGACGAGTTTGCCGACATCTTCGAGACACCTACCGGTGTGGTGCCGGATTGGTTGATCTCTCATGAGATCATTCTTGAGGCTGGTGCCGTGCCACCAAAAGGTTGCATTTATCGCATGAGCGAGGAGGAGCTTATGCGCGCAACTTGATGACTTGTTGGACAAGGGCTGGATTCGCCCTAGTAGCTCTCCATATGGAGTGCCAGTCATCCTCGTCCGGAAGAAGAACAAGGATCTACGATTGTGCATCGACTACCGCAAACTCAACGCACAAACCGTCAAGAATGCGGGGCCTCTTCCTCGTATCGACGATCTTCTTGAGCGATTGGGCAGCGCAAAGTATTTTTCTAAGTTGGATTTGAAGTCGGGATATCATCTGATTTTGATCCGGCTGAACGATGGCTATAAATCCGCATTCCAGACGCGGGATGGACATTTTGGGTGGGTGGTTATCAAGGTTGTCGACCCCCGGCCTTGGGACCCCGCCGGGGTTTCGGGGTTCCGGGGGTCGGCATCCGGGACCCCGGCCCCCTGTATGGGAAAAAAAAAAAAAAAAA